CGGGTGTCGCCCCGACCCAGGTGCAGGACCTTGCACTTGGCCTTGTTGAACCTCATGAGGTTCACACGGGCCCGCTTCTGGAGCTTGTCCAGGTCCCTCTGGATGGCATCCCGTCCCTCTGGCGTGTCAACCGCACCACTCAGCTTGGTGTCACCTGCAAACTGGCCGAGGGTGCCCTCGACCCCACTGTCCATGTCACCGATGAAGACATTAAACAGCACCGGTCCCAGTACGGACCGGTGCTCTGATAGGACTTGCTGGAGCCCACAGGAGACTAAAACCCAAAGGAAACCCCGCAGGTGTTTATAAAACTCAAATAAAGGGGAGCTGCGGTTCACTTCCAGCTTGCCTGGTGTTGTGAACGCCCGTGCCGTGACACAGCGGCACTTGTGCAAGCCGAGACACAGCCCGGCGTTGGCATTGCAGATTGAGAACCACCCCCGGCGTTTCTGGTGAAATCGTTCCCGGTGACACCGGGGAGCAGCAAACCTGAAACGCGCTTCGCTTGGCTGCGCTGGAGGAAGGGCTTTTCGGTAGGACGGGTGGTAACACGGACGAGGGATGTCAGCGCAGTCACTTGCCTGCTTTATAAAGTCCCGGGGAAGAGGATTTGACTCATTTACTTTGTACTCACAGAAGGATGGATGCTGCCCCACCACGTCCCTGCCTGCCTCGAGGGGGAATACGGGATCGGGAAGCGACACCCGCACCTTCCACTCGAGGTCCTGGCTCGCGCCCCGGATCCGATCTCCTCCCGAATGCTGAGCCGGAGGCGTCCAGCCACAGACTCCTGGCACGACCGGCGAGGCGGCCGAGCGTTTGCGGGCTGCCCTGACCCGAAGTCCACGCGGAGGCTGAGATAAGATCTGCCCGTTGCTTCCAGACAGACGCTGGCCCTCTTCGCGAGACACCACAAGGGCGGCAGGAAAAACCACGGCCAACGCCGAGGGTAGGGCTGAGGTTACCGAGCGCACGAGGACGCAGTCGGCCGGGCAAGGATACAACCCTGCAAACCCCGGCCAAAACCGGGGGCTTGGAAGTGCCGGAGGGCGGTGTGGAGCAGCGCAAAAGCAGACTCGCTCCGTCAGGCAAGGAAAGAGCAGCCAAATATAAAGCAAAATTGAAGTTCAGGGAACTTCAGGCATGAAACGTGTTCACCGGGTGTCGCTCGGGCGTTTCGTTGAAGCTTGAATGGTGGGTGCTTCTGCCTGCCCCAGCTGGAACCGGGGACACCGTCCAGCCCCGGGGGGTGCAGAAAGCCCCGGGGTTGTTCCCCCACCCTGGGACAGCCTGCCTGGCACGGCCGTCACGGTGGGGTGGCATTTGGGTCTCGCTGGGACAGAGGCGGCGGTCAGAAGCCGAGCTGGCGTCCCCTGGTTGGCGAGGGGGCCGCAGAAACACCCCTCGCAGCAACAGCTTGGGGGTGATTCACGGCCAGATGAGGGTCAAGAAGCAAAAGGAGCAGTTTAATACGCTGTAGGGACAAGGCACATGTATCGAGATCGGGAATCATCCTCCGCGCAGCCCCGCAGGGCGTTGCGACCTCACTTAACTGCCAAGGATGCCCAGGATCGCTCTGCACCGGCTCGCGCAGTAAATAGAATCATAGAATCACTGAGGTTGGAAAAGACCTCTAAGATCATCGAGTCCAACCGTTGACCCAACACCCCCAGGCCCACTAAACCATGTCCCTAAGTGCCTCATCTACTCGTCTTTTAAATACCTCCAGGGATGGGGACTCCACCACTTCCCTGGGCAGCCTGGTCCAATGTTTCACCACTCTTTCAGTAAAGACATTTTTCCTCA